AAGCACACATCCCTAGTGAATGACTATGAGCCACAATAATGAAACAGAACCTCCATGTTCAAAAGCGGTATATCTGACTCACATGGGATGACAGTGGGGTTGCCAACATCCAGGTTGTACCTGGAGATCTCCCACTATAACTATCGATCTCCAGATGACCAAGATTAGTTTCCTTGGGGAGAATGGCTGCTTTGGAGGGTGGACTCTATGGCATTATACCCTGAGGTCCCTCCTCTCGCCAAAGCCCACCCTTCCCAAACTCCACCCTGAAAATCTCCAGGTATTTCCCAACCCAGAGCTGGCAACCCTAGATGGCAGTTATATTCATGCTCTGCTTAACAGCTTCAGGATGTTTTCTGTGGGCACATCACTGTTATTGGTAAAATATGCAGTGACACAGGTTTTGGAAACACCGTTGCAGGCCATCCCATCCTAATGGATTAATGTTTTGAATGCAACAAATTGGAAACAACGTGAAAGATGCTGTTTATGTTCTCCTTGTCAGTTTTTGTCATTTGTCCCATCTGTTAATCTGGAGCCCTCGATTCATCTTCTTAAAGGTCTGCAGAACGCCAACCGGCATACTAAGCCGTTACTGCAAACTGATGAACAGCGAGGGAAGGAGTAGTGGAGATGAATCAAAAACCAAAGACAGAAAACAATTAGTGGTGACCTAGAGATGGCCATTATTACTCTGAAAGTAACAGGTTCATTGGTATTCTGGTCTCATCTTCCAGTTTAGTTGGGACATCGCTCAAACCGCACATGTCTTTCTTAGTGCCATGATCTGAAGCAAGCCACAGCAGCTGTGTCTGCTGCAAAAAGCTGCCCACTGCACAAAATTCAGGGGGGCTTTAACATCATTTCTTGCAGTGGGTTATGAAGCCCCCACCTGCAAGCAATGGTGTATTTCAATACTGTCAAATAAACCAGACTCCTTGCATTAGAGTCATAGAGTAATCACTACATCTGTTTGCAAACCAGTTTGGATAATGCTGTCAAGCTTTCACTATGGATACAGTCACACGAAGGAGGTATTAACTCAAAGCATAAAACACATACGGCTGGATCTTTTCCACGAGGAATCATATATTGGGAGAAGGTGTCCTTCCTTTGGCAGAAGACTGCATCCAACAGAAGATTAATCAGTTACTGCACTATTGGACCTATGGTTGTCAGCTCTGGGTTGGGAAATTCCTGGATTTTGGGGGGTGGAGCCTGGGGGAGCTCAGCAGGGATGTGATCCCATACAGTCCACCCTCCAAAGCAGCCATTTTCTCCAGGGGAACTGATCCCTGCAGCCTGGAGATCAGTTGTAATTCCTGGATATTCCCAGGCCCTACCTGGAGATTGGCAACCCTGTCCAGAAATGATGCTGCAATGTGGGCAGTGGCAAGCCACCTCTGTTTGTCTCTCACCTCAAAAACCTTACGGGGTCACCCTAAGTCAGCTGCGACTTGACAGCACATTCCACCACCACTTCTTCATGCCTGAAATAAGATGTGTTAGTACTATGGAATGGTCTCCCCTAGAAAGTATGTCAGGATTCTTTTCTCCTTGCCTTTTCAGAACTTTTTGTTCACCAAAACTGCAATCTCTTTATTCTCACCTTGCTTCATTGTTGGGAGAGAGCCATGGCTTGGTGGTAAAATGCCTGCTTGGCATGTAGAAGGTTCAGTCCCTGGTATCTCCAGTTAAAAGGCTTAGGTAGCAGGTGACAGGAAAGACCTGAACCTGAAATTCTGGAGAGCTGCTGCTAGCCTGAATGGACAAGGCTGACCTTGAAGGACCAATGGTCTGATTCAGTATGAGTCATTTTCATGTATTATTTCTCTTTTTACTTCCTATTTTAAACACTGATTTTATTGACACTATGTTTTTATTCAACATTGTGCAGTTGATTTTTCTACACCACCTCGGCCATTTTATTGGAAATAATGCCAATCCACCCACCCACCCACCCACCCACCCACCCATCCATCCATCCATCCATCCATCCAGCCATCTATCCGATGTATTCCTAAGAGCTTAGTGTTTTTCTAGCCACAGTCCTAAATAAGCAAACATGAAAATGGGATCTAAGTGCAAAGGACACTCAACAAATCCTCCCCAAAACTGCAGATGGCTCATATTCCTGTTAACTCCAAGCTCTAATATGCTTTGCAGATTTCCTACTAAATCACCAATAGCAAGTAGGCTTGTCAAACAAGCAAGGCTGGAGTCCTGAACAGCTTGTATTTGCCTACTTCTCAGAGTAATGTCACAATGACAGCCAAATACTGGCAAATGTTAAATGAAATGTTACCAAACAAACAAATGAATATTGCTCTAGGACTTCTAATGTGGCTTGACACATTTAGAAAATAGAGATTTTGGCCCTGCCCCCACGCAATTCTCAACTGGATACCAATAAGTTGCCTGCTTACTGCCAAAGGCACAATATTGTTAACATTTCGTAGAGTATGCTACCGTAGAATTGGGGCTATGGAACATAAAGACAGGGCCAGGAAGGGTAACAGCACATATGGGAGATAATGGCCATGGGAGAGCTACTTGAAGGAATGGTTAATACAGCAATAATGGACTTTCCATGCTCCAGAATGTCAGAAGGTGCTGCTAAGAGTGGTGCTCAACACTTCTACTGAAAACCAAATGGAGGTTCTTGTTGCTAATATCTGAAAGTTAACTACCCTGAGTTCATGTCTAGGGTTACATGTCTGTCACTTCTAAATTTAGCCTGAAAATTCAAGCAGCCATTCTGAAATTTTCATGCTCTTTAATAACCCCTTGTGCTACTCCTACTTACATGGATGACCATTATGTAGTCTCTGTCCCTTCACTATTGCTATATCCTGTGTCAGAAATTCCTACACAATGCCATCTGTCGTCTCGTCCTTCACTTCCTACATTCAGCCCCCACCTTTTCTATTAGAGCTCATCTAGATAAGAATGTAAGAAAACTTCTGAATCAGCATTCTGATGGCTCAGAATCCTGTTTTTAGGGATGCACGCCCAAATATTTCTGGGCTGAAAATATACCCAAGGAGTGCCTTATTGGTATTTTGGGGTATATCCTGGTCAGTCAAAGTGGTATTTGGAATTCTAGAATACTGGATATCATTTCCTGAAAAATACTGAAAATATTTGGGAATATTGAAGAATATTCAGGGCAAGCATGTTATGGTTCCCAGGCCTCCCCCCCCCCAATTTTACAATATGTCTGTGTCAGTGTCTTGCCAGCTCTGCCTGTCTGTGTTGGTACTGGTCTGTCAAATTGGTTTGGCTTGGATTTCATGCTTTGACACTGGTTGTGTTGAGTATGCAACAGTGTCCCATGCTTAGGTTGGATTTTCTGGTTTGACATTGGTTGCATTGTGCTTGCTACATTGGGCTGTGGTTCTTCTAGAATCATAGAATGTTAGAGTTGGAAGGGACCTTGCAGGTCATCTAGTCCAACAAGCTCCCCCTCTGGGATTCTCTGGTTTGACATTGCTGTTGGGCTTGTTGGATCTATCTGCATTGGAGGCTTTTGGCCAATGGTTGCTTGTTCTTGTATGTTTGGCTGTTGGCTTTGCCCTGGAGAAAGTGTGGAATTCTTTTTCATCACTGGGAACAATGGAGACAAGTAGGATGGCTGGGGGGGGGGCACCTTGTTCAGGGGTCTGTAGAATTGAACCCCATTCACTTGGAATTTGAGGGGTTTTTAATGGACAGGAAGCACTAGGGAGCACTAGGAGCCCTGCAATTCTGGTGTCATTTGGTTGAAAAACAGCCTCTCCAGCCATCCAAGAAAGTTCCCCATAAGGAATGATGGGACTTGAATAGTTCTGGAATCCCCTCCAAAAAATCCTAAACCCAAATCCCTAAATGGACTCAGAGGACCTGAGTACCCCTGAATACCAGTATTTATGTCTTCCCAAAATCCAAATAATACAATTTTCCAGGTGTACATCCCTACCTGTTTCCCATAGTGTCCAACAAGATACTATCAGAAGCAGAGAAGTCAAAATCTGTCCCTGATGTTGCCCTCTTAGCAAGTGATATAGAAAAAGGTAATGGTTCCCTTGCTCGAAAGCCAGTCGAATCCGACTCTAGGGTTGCGTTGCTCATCTCCGTTTCAAAGCCGAAGAGCCAGCGCTGTCGGAAGACTTTTCCGTGGTCATGTGGTACAGTGCCTCCAAACATGGAGGTTCCATTAAACCATTGCAGCTATTAGCCACCAATAGTCATATCTTCCATGAATTTCTCCAGTCCGCTTTGTATAGCTGTCTAAACTAGTGACCATCCCTACATTTTTGTAGGAAACCTAAATACAGATAACTTCATTTTCTTATATTCGCCCTTTGTTATCATTGCTTCTCTATAGTTTAGACTGGAACTCACTGAGACAGAGACTGGTTATTTACCCCTGTATGTTACTCTGTACACATTTCTGGTGATGTCTAAGGGTAATAATAAAAAAGAAATATTTTCTTGCAATGCATCAACCTTTTAGCAGTGTAGTCTCTTGTTATATGCAACATTTGTATTCTCATTGTACATTTAACTTTTTGCATAAAACCATCTGTAGTCTCACAGTATTTTAAGCCTTTCACTCCAAAGCATCTTCCTTCTGTCAAGAGGAACACACACACATGACAAACTGAATATCTGTGCAACTGAAAAGCTAACCAAACCCATGATGTGGAGCAACTGAGAGCAAAGCACACACAAATGCAAACTTCCAAAGTCCTTCAGTAGGGATTTGATAACACTGAATAAAAGGACACACAACCAGAGTCTATGAAAATTCAAACTGTCAGCAGCCTTTTCTATGGAAATTCACTTCTTTCCACCAGTAAGAGAACCTCAAAACAGAATCCCTCCAGGTTTCACACATCCCTGGCCATCTATATTACTTACAACAATTGCAAATATATAAATATCAGTTATAATTGATTCAGAGATGCTTAAAATATATATCAAAGTACGGTGACAAGGAGAAAAGATGACCATCTTACCTCTTCCAGTGCCCATAATGAATCAACTCGTGGCTTGATCTTCTTCTCGTTGTACAGTGTTATGAGTTTGTCCATTACATTGTGAATCAGGCCACTTCGGCCTTGTTTGAAAAGCAGGTTTAAGAGAGAAAATCCCGCCATAACTTTGTTCTCTTCATATAGCTTGATTGGGTTGACTTTCTCCACTTGCCACCACTAGAGACAAATGACAACAAGATCAAGGTAACAAAGTAAATAAGCATAAAATCATGTACAATGTGCCTTGACCTGCATAGCCCAGGCTAGCCTGATCTCACCAGATCTCGGAAGCTAGACAGGGATTTGGCCCTGGCTAGTATTTGTATGGGAGACCTCCAAGGAATACCAGGGGCTTTACACAGAGGAGGGCGATGGCAAATCACTTCTGAATGTCTCTTGCCTCGAAAACCCTAAGGGGTTGCCATAAATCAGCTGTGACATGACGGCACTTTCCACCACCACCATGTACAATGTTAGTCAACATAATGAGATGATCACTGGGGTAAAAGAACAATAGTGCTCTGTCTGTCTGTCTGTCTGCCGATGGGCTTTGACAAGGCAGTACCTAGACAGGAAAGAGTTATGGTGAGTTTGCTCAACAAAGGCCCTGGTCACACGGGCCACATATCGCGGGGGCGAGGCGTGGCTGTTTGCCCCAGAGTGAACTACCGCGCGGCAGCCGGATCAAACATCCCGCCCGACTTCCTGCCGACGTCCCATGGTTGGGGGGAGGTGCCGATCATACCTCACTCCTGCGGCATGGCAAAGAAGCAGTGCTGCGGGGGTTGTGATTTTTTTAAACCCAAGTGTTTGCATGCGCCGTTGGGTGCTTGTGCGCACCCGTGGAGACTTGACAAAAAAACCCCTTTTCGCGACGGGACATGGGCGGGCGCCGGATGCCATGAGCTACCACTGGAAACGTGATCAGACGCCTGCCCTTGCCCCGTGGTTTCCGGAAACTAGTACCTCAGAGGTACTAGTTTTTTACCGCGCATCTTCGGAGTGAAGCCTCGGGTTAGCCACGGGAGCTCTACGCTTCCCAGATCTTGAGGTGTGATTGCGCCTGGAAAATCCGCCTATCTTCTGTCTCTGTAGCGTGGCTAATGCTCCATGTGACCACAGCCAAAGACAATCTGATGTGTGGCAACACTGACAAAGGCAAATTTCATGTTACAGATTATTATAAAGGGAAGGAAAATTAAACAACTAGTGTAATAATGCCTTTGTCTATGGTATAACTGTGTTTGGTATATTGCATATGGTTTTGGTTGCCCTATCACAAAAATGGCATCACAGAGCTGGAAAACGTCCTACCATTACAGGGGAAAGACTATAGTGTTCAGGGAAATCTAGTTAAGAAAAAATTAATGACTAAAGGGGAACATCATTATTATTTATAAAATTATGTCTGCTCATGTGCAGAAAGCAGACCCAGTGGATTTTCCTCAGTCCCTTTCTTACAAGAGGGCCCTACAAGAACTTTAAAAATGGATTAGAAAAATTCATGGGTGAGTCTATCAATAGCTGTTAGTTCTCATAACAAAATGGAACACCTAGGTCCAAAGCTAGTATGCTCAGGAATTTCAGGAAGGATTTCCTACTGATTAACAGGAAGAATCTAGTGGCTAGATTGTAGTCGGTCACTGTTAGAAACAGGATGCTGGACTGGATGAACTCATCCAGTAGGGCTCTTCTTATGTTCTTAAATACAGTCTTACCATTAGCTGAATGAATAGACTGACACTGAATATATGAATGCTGAGGCTGAATGTGCTTTATATCATCAGACCATCCATTGGCCCGTTTAGCTCAATAATGTCTACATTGATGGGCACTGAGTTGTCTCTCCAGGGTCTTTGATGGAGGGAAATCTTTTCCCAGCACTTAGTCTTTGACAGTTCCATAGATTGAACCCGGAACTTTCTGCATGAAAAGCAGGTGATCTGATCACTCAGACACAACCCTTCCTGTGCACACAGGCTCTTAGCAGAAGGTGCTACTGCAACCTTGATGCCTATGGGAATTAGACTTCATGTTTTCACATGATCTTTTCTAGAAAGGTTGCCACACTGTGATCTTGCTGTCCCTTTAATGACACAGGAATACTTTTCTCATTCTCTCTCAACTGCTGTTGAGAAAAAAGTAATGTTGTTTGCTCCACTGGGTAGTAGGAGACAAGGTCAGTATGGGCCTATGCGTACTTTTAGTGGCCCTCATGTGACTCGGTTCAGGAATGGAAAGAGCTGCTTGCAAAACTGTAGCCTGATTGAGAAAACATGTAGGTGACGTCTGTATGAACCAGCACCTCCAAGTGAGACCTGTGTCTGTGTCTCACCCTGGAAACTTGATGGGGTGGCTTGGAAAGGTCCACTGCTGTCACAGGACTCAGGACAGCTGCAGACATCCCACTCATGAGGAGCAATCAGCTCGTAAAAATACTAACTCCATGTAGGATTGACAGCACTGCCTCAGCAAATTCCAGATTTTGAGGGCAGTGCCTGGGGAAGGGGAAGGTGGAATTTGGAGAAGATGTGACATCACTTCTGGATGATGCCGTAGGAATTGCCTCTCATCTCTATGGTAAATACTACAGAGAAATATGGAAATCACTAAAGCATTACTATGGAGGACAGTTTCTCCTGCTGCTCAACTTCTCAAGGGTGGAGGATTGTAGTCAAGGGTGGAAGTTTACCTGCTGCAGGCAGGCAAATGGCAAGCCTAACTCCATGTGCTCCAGATGGAGGCTATAGAAAACCTCAAGGCTCATATTGCCCCGGGGGAGGGGGGGACACACACACAAAGGAATGAATTTCATTCTGTGTATTCTCTGATCAGTCAATCCTAAAAGAAATCAGAATCAAAAAGAGAATGTTCTCTGGAAGGCCAGATAATGAAACTGAAGCTCAAATACTTTGGCCACCAAATGAGAAGGGAGCACTCACTGGAGAAGACCCTGATGCTGGGAAAGATTGACGGTCAAAGAAGACGGGGACGGCAAAGGATGAGATGGTTGGACAGTGTCATACATGCAACGAGCATGAATTTGAGCAAACTTCAGAGGACAGCGGAGGACAGGAGGGCCTGGCGGGATCTTGTTCATGGGGTCACGAAGAGTCGGACTCGACTGTGCGACTGAACAACAACAACATTCTCTGATTTGTCTTTCTGGGTACTTTTATTGTACTGATTATATTTCTAACTTGTCTTTACTCCTTAGCCTTCAGACCAGCATACACAGTGTCCTCAGTTTTACCCCTATAATGAGCCTGAGAGAGAAAACTTGACAAGCCAAGAGTTACCCAGGAAGGTGCCCTTAGGAACAGGGATTTGACCCCAGATCTCTCTTGTGTAAATCCTACCCTCCAGCTAGGAAACCACACTCACTTGGAAACCTAAAGCATGCCAGGTATTCCCTTCCACCTCTTCTCCAAAACATTCACTTTCAGCCAGATGAGCCATCTGAATTTGTCTGAGGTTTCAACACAGGAAGTCTCATTTTGTTATTGAATAAAGAAAGCCTGTTCTTCATATTATATATTGTTACCCTGCTTATTTAATCTATATGCAGAGTACATCATGCAAAATGCTGGCCTGGATGAATCACAAGCCAGAATTAAGATCACCGGGAAAAACATCAACAACCTCAGATATGCAGACGATCTATATACTAATAGCCAAGAAGCCCCCTCCGTGCAGATATCTAAATCTGCACATCGGGGGCACTTGGGGGGCAAAGAGATTTTCCTGCACACTTGGAGCAGTCCCCAGGTGTGAATCTGAAAAGTTTCAAAAAGTATACAGGGGATACTTAAATCCCAAAAAACCCTACAACTGCTTACTCTGGGCATGTGCAGGGAACTCACTCACTGAAATGTGGGAACAGCTCGAGGGAAGCCGCCACGCCACTAACCATCCCGGCTGCCGCTCCAGCTGCCACAGCAACAGTCCTTGTGCAGAGGACGGACTTACCCTTGGAAACTGTGGGGTGCTTTGCGAGGAAGCTCCGGGGACTTCAGAGACTTTGCCTCAACACTGCCCCCCCCCCACTCCATTTCTTCTGTCGGTTCCCTGCCTCATTTGTTTGGAATTAGTGGTGGGGACACTGAGCACAGCTGTGAGCCCGGCCACCCTTCACCCTTTCCATCTATCCCCTGGTGAGGGCTCAGTCGCTGCCTCACTGGCAGCCTCCTTGCTTCCCCCGAGGCTCTGTTGTGCTGGGTCAGTCTCCCACAGCCCGGGTGCCATTGCCCAGGTATGTGTTGGGGGAGCCTTGGAGACAAGAGAAGGAAGGAGGGAAGGAAGGAAGCAGTTCTGAATGAGCCACTGAGAGAGGAAATGGGGGGGAGCCTTGATGAGGTTGTCTGGAGCAGCTCCTAACAAGCCACCGGGGGGGGGAATCAGTGGGTCTGGCAGCTGCAGGGGAGCCTGGAGAGAAAGTGAGTGTGTGTGTGTTATGAAATCCCCCCCTGCGAGTATCGTGGGTGGGTGCCGCTTGTACCACTCTAATGGCAGAAAGTGAAGAGGACGTAAAGAGCCTCTTGCTGAAAGTGTAAGAGGAGAGCACAAAAGTTAGCTTGAAACTCAACATTAAAAAAACGAAGATAATGGCATCCGGCCCCATCACTCCTTGGCAAATGGAAAGGGAAGCCATGGAAGCAGTGACAGAATTCACGTTCCTGGGATCCAAGATCACTGCAGATGGTGACTACAGCCATGAAATTAAAAGATGCCTGCTCCTTGGGAGGAAAACAATGGCAAACTTAGGCAGCATAATAAAAAGTAGAGACATCACCCTGCCAACAAAAGTCTGTATGGTCAAAGCAATGGTATTCCAGTAGTAATGTATGTCTGCGAGAGTTGGACCATAAGGAAGGCTGAGCACCGAAGAATAGATGCTTTCATAAGAACATAAGAGACGCCAATGTTGATCAGGCCAAAGGTCCATCCAGCCCAACACTCTGTATCACACAGTGGCTAGAAATACCAGGTGCCATCAGGAGGTCCAACAGTGGGGCCAGGACATTAGAAGCCCTCTCACTGCTGACCCCCCCAAGCACCAAGAAGACAGAGCATCACTTGCCCCAGAGCCCCTATCTATACCTTGTAACTAATAGCCACTGATGGACCTCTGCTCCATATGCTTATCTAATTCCCTTTTGAAGCCGTCCATGCTTGTAGCCGCCACCACTTCCTGTGGCAGTGAATTCCATGTGTTAATCACTCTTTGGGTGAAGAAGTACTTCCTTTTATCCGTTCTAACCCGACCGCTCTGCAGTTTCATGGAGTGCCCACGAGTTCTTGTATTGTGAGAAAGGGAGAAAAGTACCTCTTTCTCTACCTGCTCTTTCCCATGCATAATCTTATAAACCTCAATCATGTCACCCCTCAGTCGCAATGCATGGCTAGGAATAAATACAGTGAAGCAACATGTTGAATACCGGCAAACAGATTGATGACTTACTGAACCAGTCCTCGAAAAATCGTCCCTGCTTGTGATCAGTGAACAGAGCATGAGCCAAACTGGCAGGTGTTCATATGTCCCTAGCCAGGAGTAAGCTACGATGTCCATGTTTGTACAGAATGCAGAACCGTATTTAAGACTAACTGTGGTTAACAAAACAAAGTATGAATCCAGTGGCACCTTTAAGACCAACAAAGTATATAGAAGCTGAAGCTTAAATACTTTGGCCACCAAATGAACAGGGAGCACTCACTGGAGAAGACCCTGATGCTGGGAAAGATTGAAGGTAAAAGAAGAAGGAGACAGCAAAGGATGAGATGGTTAGACAGTGTTATCGATGCAACGAACATGATATTAAGCAAACTCCGGAGGATGATGGAAGACAGGAGGGCCTGGCGTGATGTGGTCCATGGGGTCACAAAGAGTCGGACTTGACTGTGCGACTGAACAACAACAACAAAGAAAACCTTGCTGGCGAATTGTGTGGATCGCTTCTCAAAAGGGTCTCCAGCTGAATTCACACCAATATTACGCTCTTGACTGTCACTAATTCTTTTATCATTTCCAGTGTAATTAAGATGGCCTACTTTGCCCAAAGGCATCTTTGCAAGAGAAGCAGCCAGCACTTGCAAAAAGGGCCAATTCCTTTTAATTGAAAAAAGGCATATTTGATAACTTGATTTTTAATAGTTTAATTAGATTAGGATAAAAAGCAATTTACATTTTTATGAACAATTCAATGCACTTTCCTACTTTTTATTAATGAGTTTTTTTCCTTAATGGCTTGCTCTATTTCTGGTGGGTGCTGTTTTTCTTAAGTGCAATATTTGTTCCACAGCAGGAGTTGGCTGAAACTTTAAAGGCTTAAAATCAATGTGTGCTTCACTCTTTATTGACGATAAGTAAATGTGAAATAATAAAAATCAATCACTAAGGACTCTGTCAGATCTGTTGCTATTTCTACTGCCTAAACTTTCTGCTTATTCAGTTCCTGATTGATCTTTCCTCTAGTTTAATATTTCATCAAAATTTGGCTTCAGGTCCTGAATGGCCAACGTCTTCCCTTCTAAGGGCTGACGTGCCTCACACTTTGACAGCTCTGGATCTAGATAATATTTGTCACACTATAACCAGCTGTCACAAAAAAGCGTCCCTTATCCATTTTAGCTGCAACTCTGCAAGAAAAAAAAAACCAGCCCAAGGCAAGCTTAATAATGTTTGTGCCTTTCATTCCCAATAAGACGTGATATAATCGATCACTGGCATTGGGGGGGGGGAATTAATGGAGACAAATGAGAGCAAACCTCAATGTTACATGGGCAAAGCATGAAGAGTGGCATGACAGTGAAATCCTAAGCAGAGCTAAGCAGAGATAGAGTAGATAGAGAAAGAAGTACTTTTCTCCCTTTCTCACAATACAAGAACTCATGGGAACTCAATGAAATTGCTGACCAGTCGGGTGAGAACAGATAAAAGGAAGTACTTCTTCACCCAAAGAGTGATTAACACATGGAGTTGGTGGTGGCTACAAGCATGGATGGCTTCAAGAGGGAACTGGATAAACATATGGAGCAGAGGTCCATCAGTGGCTATTAGCCATGAGGTATAGATAGGAACTCTAGGTCTGGGGCAAGTGATGGTCTGTATTCTTGGTGCTTGGGGGGGCAACAGTGGGAGGACTTCTAGTGCCCTGGCCCCACTGCTGGACCTCCTGATGGCACCTGGTATTTTTGACCACTTTGTGACAGAGTGTTGGACTGGATGGGCCATTGGCCTGATCCAACATTAGCTTCTCTTATCTTCTTATGTACTCTTCTATGTCCGTTTAGGTCACTGGGCTTAAAAGGATACGACTCTATGTAGGATTGCATTGTGAAACCGAACGGAGAAACACTGGCGGGATGTATGCAAACATACCCCATTCCCCCAGAATCACTTCTCATAAGCTGCTTTCCTATTCATGGAAGGAAAAGAAATGGCTACTTGTATCCAGATGGGAAAGGGTTTAAGCAGTGCCCCTTCAGCTATTTCTCAGCTCACACTTGCATCTTCCCACAGCTGTTCATTTTTTTTTTAAATGGGAGTGTTTATGCATCTCTCATCTAGTTAGCTACTCAGGTTGCCAAATCTTAATCAAACTGTGAAAAAAGGAATTGTAGGAACATGAGAAATAGCAGGAAACAGATGCATAACCACCACTTAGGAGAGCCACAAAAGGCTTGTACTTACTGATTTTGCAAAGCTGAAGAAACTTTTGGTTTCCCCGGTAACCATATTTGATGATCCTGAAAAATAAAGGGGGAAAGGAAATTAATGACTGCAGACACTAAAGGTACCAAAATTGCTAGGCGCATTCCTCACAGCACACAATGTACAGTGTCTGCAGTCTTTATTTATTTATTTATTATTATTATTATCAACAACCACTACAGACACTGTACATTGTGTGCTGTGAGGAATGGGCCTAACAATTTTGGTACCTTTAGTCAAAATCCAAACATATCATTCTCCTCTTTCCATAAAATCTTCCCAAAGAGCTTTTCAAATGGATTAGCTCCCCGTCTGTTATACAAATTGTGCCAGCCCCTGACAATCACTGTCGTTAAATGGATACAAACATGCAGTCTTCAGATGGCTTTCCACAACCTTGGTGTACACAAAAAGGATTGTTTGCAACAAACATCCTCCTGACATTAAGCTCTCAATGAAAAGCTAAACATGTTGGATTAGAAGAACTGTGCCATTAGGATCATTCTGTGCGACGCATCAGGTTTGCATCTGCAGGGAATATGACAGAGGTTGGATGTGAAGTGCCGGGGGTCACCCTGGCAATCTCCTTGCATCACTGCAGCCACCAAGCAAGCCAGCCATCTTAGACTTGAAACAAGCCACGGCACCATCCTGAAAAGTGACCTCTCAAGGAACTGCAGCCTGGGTTGCATGGGCCAATCAGAACAGTGCTGGGGCTATATAAGCTCTACCTCTGAGCTGGCTCCTCCATCCTAGCGGACTGTAGTGGGTGGAGTGAACTCTGCTGTGCCAGATTCTTCGGACTTGCTGCTGTAGAACTGACCCCTTGCCTTATTATGACACTGATTCCTGCCACCAGGACCTCCTGCTTACTAAGCAGGATCTGACCCCTGGTCAGACTTTGACCACACTTCCGGCTCTGGTGTTCCAGTTCCCTACCGGAAACAATGGTGGTAGCTCTACCATAGAGTTTATGCTGATGCCTAAAGCTACCACCATTACTTCCAGGTTTTCCCTGGAAGTGACATCATCACACTTGCAACTCTGGGGGTTTGGCAGGCCTGGGCTTGTACCGGCAGTTTCTTAAAACTTTGTGTGTTTGTGTCTATTAGTGTTGAAGGAGGGTACTACAAAACTGCTGTTTTCATTCATACTTAACATCTGCTGGGACAGCTACTATGGAATATGGAGAGGGGGCCCGATATATGACCTGCACAGTTCAGAATTTATTTACTAGGTGACTGTCACTTACCGTATAAAATATAAGTCCCAAGGGGCTTGAGAAGACCGAGGCCTTTCCCTGTGTTTTCCCCACAAAGGCAATCCAGAACAATGTCTACACCATCTGCAGAGATTCTAAAAAACAAGAGAGAGAGAGAGATCTTTTGCAACTGGACAGTCCCATAGCTTAGCCCCAAAAGATGCTCATCTGGGTAAGTGGAATTAAACCAAAGAAAGCTAAAACCTGTACCATGAATCATACGTACAGTGGCTGGTACAGCTGATTTGAAGCATAGTGGCACACCCAGTAGAAGCCATAACTATCATATTTATGGATCTTTGCAGACAATCTTTATGGGGAAAGGCTGTGTCTTAACGATCGAACATCTGCAAATAAAGATTTCAGGTGGCATATGCTGCGAAAAACCTTTGTCAGCTTGAGACCCTGGAGAGCTGCTCCTCCGTCACTGCAAAAAATACTAAGTGAGGTGGACCAATGGTCTGACTTTGCAACTTTCTGTGTTCATTAGTGGCAGACTACATGCTTTGCATGCAGTTTCAGTTTCCGGCATCTCCAGTTAATTGATCTCAAGTGGCAGAGGTCTGTCTCCAAACGAAATGGGCTGCTGTCAAGTCAAAATCGAAAGTTCAGAACTAGTGGTTCAGAGCTGACCAGAGCTAGCTAGATGGACCATTGGTTTGACTCAACACAAGCCACCTTCTAGGAGGGAAGGTAGTATGGTATAGTCCTATCTTGCCATATCTCAGAAGTTAAGCAGGGTCAGTACTTGGATGGGAGACGACCGAGGAAGCCTTTGCAAACCACCTCTGCTTCTCACTTGCTTTGAAAGCCCCTTGGTTGTATCACCATAAGTCAGTTGTGACTTGATGTCACTAAATTATAATCCTAACCTGGATGGCCCAGACTAGCTTGATCCTGTCAGAAGCTGAACACAGTCAGACTTGGATGGGAAACCATCAAGGAAGACTCTGCAGAGGAAGGCAATGGTAAACTACGTCTGCTTCTCACTTGCCTTGAAAGGCCCTTCCTCGGGTTGTCAAAAGTTGGTTGTGACTTGACAGCACCTATATATTTATTTAAGCTACCTTCTTGTGTGCATAAAGGTGGCAGAAGCATGTTAATGCAACAGAAACTGTACATTATACTCATTCACCTGTGATTTACATCTGGCCTGTATCATGTTTAAAAGAGACCACCTTCAATATGTCTAGGAGGCCCTCCATTGCAAAAGCTGCACGGTGCAGTGGTTAGAGTGCCAGACTAGGATCTGAAAGACCCAGGTTTGAATTGACCCCCCTGTCATGGAAGCTTGCTGGGTGACCTTGGACGAGTTGCCCTCACTCGGAGTAACCTCCTCCACAGAGTTGTTGCTGTGAGGATAAGAAGGAAGAGGGGAGAAAAATGCTCCCTCCACTGAGGAGAAAAATGGGGTACTTACGCTCAGACTTGCTAGTACTGGAGCAGGGCCATAGTTGGTCCCCTGCACCAGTGCTGGAACATGCAGGGGTCATTTCGTACAAAAAGAGCTAGGGTAACTCATTAGCATAACGCATTAGCATATGCCACACCCCCTGACATCAGGGTCCTGGCGGTGGACCTGCAAGGCCAGCAGGAGCGCGAGGAAGCCCCGCCAAGGCCCTCCTTGGCCCCAGGCAGGCAGGGGTGGGGAGAGGTGGGGAGGAAGCAACTTACCCTCCCTCATCTCCTGCCTCCTCCTGGCTGAATGAGGGCTGGAAGCGGGGCGGCCGGAAGCAGGGGGCGGGGCTTCATCATGTGCCCCGCCCCCTGCACCTCACCAGGGGGAACTGTGTTCCCCCGCGTTCCCCCCCGAAATGACCTCTGGGAACATGGAATTACATCCTACATACAACAGCAGCAGCTACTGGTACTGCCCTGCAGGGCCTCAGCGCCATTTTTCTTGGACTGGTATAAACTTGTAATATAGGCCCCACACTATGGGTTGGATCCAGATTAACTTTTCTGAGGGTGCAATCCTCCCCACCCCACTTCTGAAGCAGCTCAAAATGCCCCTGGAATTCTCTTCCCGGGGGAGCAGGAACAGGATTTTTGTGGGGCATTTGGGGCTGCACCTGAACCTGGATGGCCCTGGCGAGCTTGATCTTGTTGGAAGCTAAGCAGGCTGGCCCTGGTTAGAACTTGGTTGAGAGACCACCAAGGAAGTCCAGGGTCACTATACAGAGACAGGAAATGGGAAAACACCTCTGTTCATCTCTTGCCTTGAAAACCCTACAAGGTCACGATAAATCAGCTGCGACGACATCCCTTTACATACACATTGTGGGCTGCCACACAAAATGGAATCCGGGAAAATCATACTCTGCAGTCAGAAGCCTTTGTGTTTGTAGAAATGTCTATTCTGGATTACAAGAAAATAATTTGCACAGAATCCAGGGATTGGAGACCTTGCATGCAAAGCTCCATGATCCACAGCCCTTCCCTACATCAACCAGACCAATTTAGGTGGTGGAGCTAAAACCAAGGTGTGACAGACTGCACTTTTTAAAAGCTCAGAAGTGCTCTGTAAATAGATAAAGAACTGTAAATTCTTCACAGAACTAGAGAGCCTTGAGTAACAGGCTGTTCTAAGAGGTCTGATTGGCTAGCATCATCTGAGCAGAGAAAGACTTCTGAACTGGATGTGTTCTGCCTTTAGAGACATTAAGAATCAGTTAAAAACTCAAGATGAGCACTGGTGTTTCAAGAGAAGGGGTTGGGGTCAGTGAACACTCACGGCACCTTCACACATGCTAAATAATGCAGTTTCAATCCACTTCAGTGACTGTTTGCAAGCACATTTTGCCATTTCACACAGTAAAATCCAATCATAAGGTACACTAAAAGTGAATTCAAAGAAAGGGTACTTGAATGTTTGGAAAACAAAAACCTCTCAGCATAAAGATTTTAAGTATCTCTGAGTGCGGTCACACACATGCCAGATAATGCGGGGGGTGGGTGGGGTGGGAGCGAGGCTATTTGCTCCATAGTAATTTGATCTGCCACTGCTTGATCAGACGCAATGGTGGGTGAATTGGTTTTCCCCCTTCACCACGTGTTTCTGGTGCGCTTCAACGAGGGATCACTGATGCAATGGGAACGCGCTGGAGCGATCACATGGGGAAATCCATCTGTGGCCCATCGCAAACCCATTTGCTACTGCACTTTCCCCGGTATTTTTAAACTCTGCTTCTTCGGGAGAGCGAAACGGGTTGCTGACGGGGGTGGGACACTCGCCAGATGTTCCAGTGTGATCACGCCCTTAAAATCTGCCCAGCATTCGTGCCCATCACGCAGCTAATTCTGCTTGTGATCAGGACCACTGAATAGCTTAAGAAACTCTCATTAGCCTGAAGCGTAAGAACTAAAGTCTGCGCATGTACTGATTTTCCTCAGAGTTATCTATATTGAGTTAACTCAGAAATTTTACCCCTGATTTTACCTGGTGAATATTTTGTTAATTTGGAATATAAAAGCTTCTCGAGTGCCATGTAAGTTGTATAAGTTAAAGGAGGCTTCCATTCCTTCCCTCAGGCTCCTGAACTGAGCAAACAGCCAAAATATTATACTGTGACAGGGTGGGACAGCGAGAATAATTCAGGAAAGAAGAAAACAGACAACTAGGGAGGCTCAATCACAAAAGGGAAAGAAAAACAGAGGGGAAATCTTGCCTCTGAGGGAGAGAAAGGGAAGGGGGGGTCATTGTAATGTATTCATATGCAGACATGAGTACATGCGGATATGGGCGAATCATCCCATAGGGAAGCTATGCAAAGCTTCGTCTTGGACTAGGGCTTCAAGTCCAGGACTATTGGTCCAATCACGTTCAAGCGAACGGGAAGCGGGAACGTGTATGATTGGTCCTTATGCGATCAACCTGATAGGTTGTTAAATGTAAAGTAGGAGTGGCTACATTAGCCGGGAATGTTTAAATACCGAACAGTTTCTATGGACAAACTGTTCGGGCTATCAGATGTTGTACCGTGTTGGAGAAGTGAGCGTGAAGAAGAATAAACTTGAGTTTTGGCTGAAATCACTCTCTGACTCTTTGTTAAGCTCAGGACTTAACAATTGGCGACGAGGATGGGATTCGAACCCATACAAGGCAATAAGAAAAACCAATTAGGAAGGACTGAAAGAACATAGTGTTAACCTCTGCAGACTCTGGAGGAAGCAAGATGAGATAAAACCCCATGATTTATCATTATTACAATTGTACAAGGCTGGATGGAAATGGAGGCCAGTGAAGAAGCAAAAATAATTTAAGGGTCTATGATATACAAATAAGGGAAGGCCATAAAAAAAGGACTGTGAATATTTTAAATTAACAAGCAACTCTAACAGCACATGTTAATTACAACAGATGATGTGACTCATTGCGGTATAGATGCTTAATTTGTTAAATGATGCCCCCCATTTTGTTTTGTTTTGTTTTGTTTTTGTAGGGAACCTACAAACCAGGGCTGCATTCAGAAGTTTATGATTGGGCACAAACCTGGTTAAACAGCTGAGCTCACAGGGCTTCCTCTCTCCTTCCTTTGCGCTGCATACCAAGACTGAAGACAGCCCCCTATGATACAGTAGGGGCTGTGGCTCAATTGTAGGACATTTACTTTGAATGTAAAAGGTCCAAAATTCAATCTTTGGCATTTCCCGTGAAATAGATCAAGCAATAGGTGATATGAAACACCTCTAGCTAAGACCTCGGAGAGCTGCTGCCAGACAGAGAAGACACTACTGACTGACAGATCAAGGGTTGGACTTCATGGGTCCATGTGACTAACTCCAATTTCTTTTGCCCTTCAAATGCTGATTCCTTAACCAACTGGGGCCTGTTTCTCCCAGCAACTGAGATTTTTAACTATGTTTGAAACCGAGCCAAGAATACCCCTATATGGGAAAGAAATAAACTCCAATTTGTTAACACGTCCATACTTGAATACTTCTGATCCAGGGGTGTCATGCAAAATGGAGGCTGGAGATAGAGGGAGTCTGTGAACCTGGCAATGAATAATGTCATGCCCATCATGAACGAAATTGGGGTTGCTTGTGGCATTTATATGACATGTGGGAGCATGAATGGGCATCCATGTGAAAC